ATGCCGTACGAGTCAGTACCCGAAGCCGATTATAACCCAAGTCTAGAAACTCCAAGCTTCTGCACTCTAGAAACGCCCGGACAGGAATTGTCATCAGCCCGTTGGAGCGCAAGTGCAGATTCTGCAGTTTTCGAAGACCAAAAAACTGGCCTGGCTGCAGCTCCTGCAACTTGTTGTAGGAGAGATCGAGACTGCGTAGGTTAGGTACTCCGTGAAAAGTGACATTATGGAGCTGTGAAATCCTATTGGAGCTCAAGATCAACTCCTTCAATCGCCGCACCCCTTGAAAAGCACGACTATCCACAAACATGATTTGATTGTGGTCCAGGTACAGCCACAGTAACTGGTTAAGATGGGCAAATTGGTAAGGGAGCATTGTGTGCAGGTCATTGTAGCGAAGGGACAGACCTTGACAACTAACTGAAATATTTTCAGGGACCTCCTGGAGGCTAGCTGACTCACAATGGACAATCTTTCCCTCGCAACGACAGCTATAGGGGCACATCCTTTCCCCAGAACTGAACAGCAGGAGGGAGGAGGCTTGAAGGAGGAGGAGGCCCGCTAATCTCTTGTCACAAATAACAGAACCTGCAGAGGGAAAAAGCACAACATCAGCTTATCATGTTTAACAAGAAGACAAGTTTTATTTGGCAAAATATTCAGTTGTCAAGCTCATACGATTAAATGCTACTACCATCCACACCATACTTAAGGAGGTCAATAGCTAATTTGACATAACTGTTTAACTTTATTCTGTATGATTCATCTGCAATCTTGATGAAATTTAATTAGCATTCAATTGAAAACAATTTCAAGTGAAATATCACCCAGGACTGAAACAATGTCATTCGTAGAAATGTTACTGGTGATGGTAGTTACTGAAAAATTGTGATTTTTTTAATGGCTCTTTGAGCCTTTTTGTTTGCTACTTATTTTGGGATTGGCTGACTGCATAATTGGAATTTGCAGTTTGTTTGTCTCTCTAAACTGAGAGGTAATAGATCAATTAATGAAATAAAAACCTTTCCACTCCCTGTCGAGATTAGCACACACAACTGTATTACTTCTAATTGGTTTACTTCTGTCTCAGAACATGAGAGATATTAATATGTGATCATATAGATCTCATAATGATCTCATATTCTAATGAGATCTCAAAATGACCACTGGCAGATGTTGTACACATCCAGCTGTCATGACATCTGCACATATATTATTCAGTAACGTAACACCCAGGATTTAGAAGTTCTACACAGCTCAAAGCAAATCACTATAAATCTGTTATTTAGCATTTGGCACTCTCTTTTGAATTACACTAGAATTACATAAAGAGTCTCAAGAGAGTCATTTGGAATAATTTACTAGGAACCATTTTTAAAGCTTAGTAATCATCACCTTTGCACTAATCAACTTTAAGATGTGACTAATGTCCAGCAATATCTTTAATACCATTTTATACTGTTCTATGGAAATTGATTAGTCAATTTAGAGCTGAATCATTACTTCAAACATAATTACTCGGAAGCTATTACCTCTGCTATCTGAAATGTGTTTCATATTGTTATCCATGCCAGAAAAGACGATGCAAAATGGACAATTTCATTATAATCTTTTTCATCTCATACGTTTTAAGTGCAACAGGAGTTGTCTTTGCCAGGAAAACGAATACAGCAATATGCAGAACAAAGAGAAAAAAAAATGATCAAAGTTTTAATGTATAAGCATTCAGTTGAAGATCTGCACTGCGTGTACCATGAACTCATTGCCTACGGAGGCCATCCAAGCATACACAGCAAATTACAGAGTCATCAGTTTTACCAAACTATAATCCCACTGATGCTGTTAAGAAAATTTCAGAGGACGACTGAAAAAAATATATATAAAACCGAGAGATCACGGTCATAATAACTTACAACAGTGCCATCTTATTTAAGTTCTCTTTTTCTCCACAGTGGTGACAAAAACAATTCAGAGTCCAAGCAATCAATCTCATAATTGCACATCATTGTGGTTGGCATGCACTGACTCAGTGTAGATTTCCAAGCAAATATAAGGCAATGAAAACCATCACACCAGCTATTACCTGTCCACTGAGACTTTTTGGGTAGAAAAAAATGACCCAGGGCCATCTCTCTGTTTTGCAAATGACTTGTTGACTATTATCAATTCTTATGCTTCGCTGGTAGTCCAGTATTATTTCTCTCTCTACAAGGACACACATTTGTGAAGTGTCATTATGTTTGGGTCATGCTTCCTTAGGTGTCCATGTAAGTCTTAAGAGCTACATGAAACAACAAGATTAACCCTCACAATGATCCCTAGAAACACATACGGAGCTGTCCGTATACTGCAGCCACAACAATACAAATGTAGTCTTGAAATACCCAGCCTGGAGTTCTAGGAAAAACTTACCTGTTTGTTTGCTTTTATTTATTTTTTGTCATCCTGGTAATGGACATTATTAACCCAAGGGGTCAATAGCGTGGGCCTGTTATCTTTGGCTCGTCTTGCCCTAACTAGACCATCTGGCTGCAAAGAGCATATTTCTACTGAATCTCCAGTGCCACGGCCAAAATATCATAAATTACGTACACTGTCAAATGTGAGTTACCAGGCTGAATTAAATGTAATGTGTTAAAAAAAAAAGACAGTGTACTGCAAAATAATGGAAGAACTATGTCTTTTTATTGAGATATCCTCGCAAGCTGCACTGTAGTTTGATTCATGACAGATGTCTGTTATTATGTGCCAATCTTTTAATGGATAGTAACAAAAACAAGAACTGCACAATCAGAAATCTGATTCAGTGAGAACGGTCACCCAATCAGCATGAGCTGTAAGGATTAGTTGTGCATTTATAGTAATTATTTAGTCATCCGAAAGGTTTACTGTATGTCAAAGGCTAAACAAAATGTAAAAATGGACAAACTGTACAATGAAGAGGCTTCAAAAACACAGAAAACTCTGAATAACTATGCTCAACTAAAAAGAAAATGAAAAGGAATGAGAAGAGCCTCATTGATTTCACTAAAATAAATATGCTCAGAAGGTATAATAAGAATCAGTATTTTTAATAAAAAATACTAATAAAGAATTTTATTTGCAAAACAAATTATAAATAAAAATGTTACTAAAATGTGACACTGGACCTCAAAACCAGTCTTAACGGGTTAGTTCACCCAAAAATGAAAATTAACCCATAAATTACTCACCCTCAAGTCATCCTAGGTGTATATGACTTTCTTCTTCCAGACGAATCCAGTCGGAGTTATATAAAAAATTGTCTTTGATCTTTCAAGCTGTTTAATGCCACTCAGCGGGTGTTGAATGCATCAGTCCAAAAGAAGTTAAATAAAAAGTGCCCATCCATAAAAAAAAAAAGTGTCTCACACGGCTCCGGGGAGTGAACAAAGGCCTCCTGTAGCGAATCGATGCGTTTTTGTAAGAAAAATGTAAACATATTCAAAACGTAGCAATCACTTTAATGTAGCTTGCGTCAACAGTTGTACACGGAAGCAGCTCCGGGTTGATGACGTATGAGTTCAGCGTTGCGCATGTGCCGGTGAGTCTCGTGAAAACCAATGTTTGTTAACTGGAGCAAAGGAAGCAAAGTTCCCTTTCGATACTACACTCGTACTGCGTCTTCCTAGACGCATATGGGAAAAAGTATTTTTCTCCTGAACTGAAGCCTTTTTTCATTCATGCAGTGAAACTGCACGGCCATTGGTTCGTGCAGTGTATTAAAAAACGAACCAATGGCTAGGCAGCGGAGCTGCACGAGCCTATGGCGATGAAGCCCGCCAAGCCTGTAGCGACGACTCTACGCTCATCGCTGATCCTGAAAGCCTGCTCACCTCTTGATTGAGACCTCCCTGCTCGGCTGACCGGCTGACCGGCTCTCTTCGCGCCTCAGCATCGCCGCAGTTCCGGTACTGTTCCCCTGCCGCCATCTGGCGATACTGAAAGAGCTTATTTCTAGCAGGTAAGCCCTAAAAGAGCAAATTCTAGCGACGTTGTTGCAAATAGCAAGCCACGGAAAGATAAATGGTGAAGCCTGGGAACTAAGCAACCGGGTCGGAGCGATCTCATGCCGACACAGAGCCTGCGTACTCGCTCTCCCCGCTGCGCTTCGAACCGTGTCTTGCACGTAAGGATCAGTGTCCCTCTTTACATCGAGTGGCTCTATCCTCCTAAAGTAGAACGGAGCAGATGCTGCCACCGGCAGCTTTGAATTGTGTGTGTCACTATGACTGAGCTCACAGACACGGGCTGCTCTTACCACGAAAGCAGTCTGCCCCTGTTTGTTCGCGGAAGGTGGCCCCGCCTCCCCGCTCTCAGGTTTCTCTCCTCCCAGTTACCTCGGAGGAAGCAACGGGCAAGGTAAGAGCAGAGCAATTTCATGCCGACACACATCAGGCGTGCTTAATCTGCCAGTGTGTGTTACTCGTGAGAATCAGTGCTCCTCGTTCACGAGCAGCTTAATCCTCCTGGGCAGATCAAAGCAAAATGCTGGCAGCTTCGAATTTGTGTGTGCGTCGCTGAGCCCCGCCTCCCCCACGCTTGTGTTTCTCTTCTCCCAGTTACTCGGAGGTAGAAATGACGAACTCGCGGGTATCAACGATCAGGCTTGAGTGATTTAATGCTGTCAAAAGCCCCCGCTTGCATCACTCTCCACGCAGCTCTTTGATCTGCCAGTGTGTTTACACGAGGGGATCGGCGCCCCTCATTGTCGAGCTGCTCAATCCTCCTGGGCAGTTTGGAGCAGAACGCTGTCACCAATGATTCAATATCGCTGACAGCAGCTCAATCCTCCTGGGCGGTTTGGAGCAGAATGCTGTCACCAATTATTCAATATCGCTGACAGCTTTGTATTTGAACGTGCCTCTCGCCTGGCCACGCCCACGCTGAGGCTGCGCTGCTGAGACAGACCACTCTTACAACGAGAGTTCATGTCTCGCTCTGCTTTCCTCACGGCTCGACTTCTTCAATGAAGACGGCCCCGCCCCTCCCCTCATCCACTACAAGCGGATTTGAGAGAATGCGAAGCAGCATTTTTGATCTGCCAGAGTGTTTACACGATGATCATCAAAACTCCTCTTCTAACGAGTGGTTTGATCTTTTTAGGTGGATTAAAAGAGCTCCCACTGGATGGAACAGGGCGTGGCCATGGGGATGGTGTGCAGAAGGACAGTTGTCACGACAGAAGCCTTCAGCTTAGGTTGGGGGGCGCTGTGCGAGGGCATAACGACTTTCGGCCACTGGTCGAAGGCGGAAAAAAGCTTTCCACATCAACTGTCTGGAAATGCTAGCAGTATGTCGAGCCTGTCAGTTCTTCCTGCCAGTCCTAAAGGGGCACCATGTATTAATCCGATCGGACAACATGTCTGTGGTGTCCTACATAAATCGCCAGGGAGGCCTCACCTCGAAGCGTCTCTTCACTCTGGTAGAGAGCTTCTTAGAACGGGCTCAACTCAACCTGCGCTCGCTGAGAGCAGCGCATATACCGGGCAAATTGAACCAAGGAGTGGACATGCTATCAAGGAGCAATGTCCCCTCAGGGGAGTGGACGCTCCATCCGCAGACAGTTC